AAAAAAATAATGTCGTACCAAACTCTAGATTGCTAAAAGGATGGAAGTGGCTCTAACGCAACTTGAACTCTTTCGAACAATTAAACAGCAACAGCTCCAATAGAACGCACAAATACACTCTTGTTCCGCATACATCCGACATGCTGAAGATGTCCTTAGGTGTTGGTTTTTCCGTGTTGAATTAATAAACCAACTCTGTACATGGCTGAAAACCGTCATTGTCAAGGGGTTGAGAAAGCACATCTGCCAATTCCAACTCGTGTAGGTTCTCATCGTAGTAAACCATAGGGAGAATCCAAGAACGTGGCACGACCACGAATATCATCAAGTAGGAAAAAAAAAAAACAATCACCAATCTGGTGGAACTGTAATTCTGAATAGTGTCCATCAAGAATCGAGCCAACACCCCGATCTTGATCATTCTTGTTCTTAGTTTTAGCTGCTTGAGCTTATACATTACGTAGCAACGGCTTCACCAGAGCGGACCGAGGGTGATCATTGGAGTTTTCTCGAAGTGACATTTGGTGGTTACGTAAATCTACCACAGCACTTGCGTAGCCACATACTGTCGATCCTCCGACTGTTGTGCCCTTCTTCTTAATTACTCTCGCCCCACAAATTGCTCGGACAAAAAGAGATTCAACTTGCCCTTGGCGACAGTCGTACCGTCACAGAACTGCTTTTCAGTGTACCACGCCACGAACTCCTTCTGATACCCCTAATATTATCTGTTGGTGTTAATTGGACTAGCTTCCAACGTAGCGCATCCATTTGTACGCGTACAAATCAGGTGGAGACTGGCGCTCAGGCGCCCACCACAACGGTATCCTCGAACCACGGCCGATTGTCTCTCCAGCCACTGTCGAACTGAAGAATTGTCGAGGGCGGGGGGGGGGGGGCGGTCGTGTCAACAAAGTGACGCCCGAGGTTAGGGCGGTGCTAGGCCTCTGGCTGGACGAGTATTGCACGTTCACGTTACGCACTTGAAGGCCAAGATGTTCGAAGGTTTTGACGCGGCACTGCCGGAGACGACCATCTCTCGTCACTTGGTCGACATGCTGTACACTGTCAAGTATGTAAGGAAGGGTATTGCTAGTTTGTGCTATGTTGTTAATGATAAGTGTCTAACGGTACGTGCTACAAAGACTTGTATCGAGCCTTCCACATGCAATAGTGACACGAGCAAGCAGAAGAGGAAGGAGTTTGCGGAAATTGTATCCGCCACCACGACGAGGGCAATATGATCGTGTACTTTGACGAGACTAACTACAACCAGAATACGAAGCGTACACGGGGCAGGGCCAAGAACGGCAAGCGCGAAGTCGAGAAGTTGCCGCCCTCGAAGGGCGCTAAATTACAGATTCAATGCGCTCTCAGCTCCTCGTTCGGCGTTGTTGCGCTCCGCACCCATCACGAAAGCATAAAAATGCCACGAATGCTGCATTTGTGGAGGAGTTGTACAAGATGATGAAGGAATCCGATGTATACAACGAGGAGTACGCGAACATAAAGGCCATCGCCGTGTTTGGCAATGCCCCGGCTCACAGCCGAATCGAGACGCTCGTTCCAGATTGCGACGACCTGATTCTTCTCCGACTTGGTCTGTACAGCCCCATATGCAACCCCATCGAGAATTGTTTCAGTTCGATGAAGGCGGTCATCAAGCAGTACTTGGCGCTGATGCGCGACGAGATGAATGGCCCGCTGCTCGTCAGCAACGGTCAGCCCATCTCAAAGACTGAAACTCGTATGCGGCCTCTTGAGCGTGCTGCTCACGTGAGTATGGTCGAGATAACTCAGCGTATGCTCCACAGGATGGAGCTGCACGTGTCCCAGTTCGTCAACGCTGCTGTGCGCACGGAGGGCATGGAGTACGGTGCGTAGGTCGAAAGATTTTGTTGGTGTGAACAACATCGGTTGCAGATTAGCTTCCTTTGATTGCACGAATAAACTTTTTTCTTTTAGTGTTTCACGAGTACTCAAAATAAAATGCCAACTTTGACTGGGGTTTTACCAAACCATGGCCGGCAAAGGTGTATTCACGTTTAGAGAATTTTATCTGACGAGGGAGGTAACATGAAATAATTATTTCGATTAGGTACCAAACCTTAATAATGACTCGGCTAGGGCCCATAGAACGGACAGCCTGATACCCATTAAGTATCAGTTGAATTGGCCTTTGATGTTGACACCTCGGAAATGACGTCATTCGGAGAACGTTTTAGTCACGACATGTGCTGATAGGGATACGATTACATAGGGCTTCATTGAGGGCAAAAACCTATTTCCCTCATAAGTGTCCTAATAACTCGGCAGGTGGTAGACATAATAAATTAGCAGCTCTACATGCTGACGATTGACTGTGTTGTAAAAAAAAACGTCTACTGAGTGTTTAGTTATTTGCTCGGTGCTCAGGTCATGCAGTGGATTATTGATAATACCAAAGGTAACACATCAACTACTACAATTAACCGTCACAGCCTACCTGGTCTTCAAATTACAAAAGTAACATGAAAATTAACAGCTAACTGGTTTTGGGGTAAACTGGAGGAAGTATGGGTAGTAGTAATAATACTAATACAGAAGTCGAAGCATTCTCAAGAGTGATAAATCATCAAATACTGTTAAACTTTTTTCCTACTTTTTTTGAAAAAAAAATCGGGTCAATAACTATTTTGGACCCGCTTGAAAATGGGCTGACCCGGTTCGTTAAATGAATCCATTTTAAAGCATTATAACAGGAATGGCTGGTCTTGGTCCTCGAGTGCTGCAGGTGCTGGAGTTCGCCAATGCTCGTGCGCCGGAGCTGCAGGCTCTTCAGGAGCTCTCGCGTCACGATGCAGTCCATTCGCGAACGGATGCAAAGCTGGAAACGCAGAAGAACCAGCGGAGACGCAGAGCCAACGCTTTCAAGTCATACCAAATGCCACAGAGGTTGCGAGCCACACCCAAGCCCAACCAGAGCGCATTACGTTGTCGCAAGCACGAGCGTCGCCCTCACAAGTTGCTGCAAGCTCGCTCAGATACAGATTCAGAGCGGCCGCAGTGGTTGTCAACCCATATGTGGCACACCAAGCGCATGACAATGAGTGAGCAACATGGCTACATTTTAGCTCTTCACCGAGCAGACAAAAGCGTGTCCGCTGCATTGCAGGCGGTGAGGAAAACGGCTACATTGCATGACTCCAGTTATTGCGGGGTTATTGAGCTCTTCGGTCTCCCTCAAATGATTTTGGAGGCACTGCAATTGATCTCGGATCCCAATGGATCAGACTTCCATGGCCTCCGGTTCTTAGCTGGAGCGGAGGAAGGCACCAGTATGTTGTACCATAGTGGGCAGTTTCCACAGGGGGCAATCGCCCCAGTGACGTTCATGTGGAGACCATTGAAGAAAGACTATGCAAGTGGAGAGTTTAAACTGCATGAGGACTGGCAGAATACCAAGAGGCAGTTGTGGCTTTGGGTACATCCTGCAGCGTATATGGAGGCGGCGACGGCCATTGCAGCAGCCTGTCAAGAGGTTGTTGGCGATGATGAAGAGGGCATCGAAATGCACGATCGACGAGGACAACTGAGTCGCTTAAAATTGCGTGGAAGACAGGCAGATGAACTTATGGCAAGGCTTGCTGGAGCGGTGGAGATTGATGAGCAAGATCAGGAAGATGAAGCTTCAGATCACGAAGATGGCTACACTGAAAAGGAGACTGTAGCTATTTGCAGCAGCAGCAACCGACGGAACTTGCTGTGCGCTCTCCGCAACAAGAAACAGACTGACAAGCAGAGGGATACGATTTACTCTGTTGTAGTGAAAGACCCACGTCTTACACGGTGCCGAGAAGGCAAATTAAGTCATCCATCTGCTCGTTCGGAGTCGGGGATTTCGCTTCTTAAAGAACCGCCGGCCGGTGCTGTACCTCAAGTAGGTATTGCCGTAATTGAGAGTCCTTTGTCTGGACTGAGTCTGTCGTCGCTGGGCAAAGATGCAGAGGAACCCGAGACGAAAATGATCCTGAAGGAGATGCAGGCATTGCTAGCCTGGACGACCAGCGGCTCCAATGTAGACAACTCGAAAAAAGCTGGCAGTGCGAGTTACCCGATCGTCACCAGTAAAATTCAATCGGAAGTTGAGACGCTAGACGACGAAGCTATGAACGTGGAAGTATCTCCGAGCTCGATGCTCTGGTCATTGTCCAAGAGACGTGAACTTGAGAACAACTTCTTGAAGGACCACCAGCTGAACGAAGAGGTATACCGTCAGCGGAAGGAAGGCATGTCCAGCAACAGTATTGATATGCATGTGAAATCTCCACCCCTCCATCTTCTGGCTATCAGAAAGCGCGGGCCGTACCCTCATACAAGCGGTTGGGATCTGATCTGCCCGCCATCTAGCGCCCCTGGCTTGCTGAAGGCGTTAGTATTTGGCGGAGCTCTAGTCGTCGGACTTGAGGAAGATTTTGCTCTGTCTACGGTGCTACACCAACCGAGGTACGAAGTGAATCTGATTGTCATAATGGTCCTGTAGTGTCTGACTTCGTGTTGTCTTTAGCTTTCCGTGCGATTATCCAGACACTCAAGCTGGACGAGCATATTGGAAGACTCGTGCGTGCGACCTAGAAACGGAACAGGCCAAGAAGCCCAAGTCGAAGCGGTTTAACTACAAAAAGCACGGTGTAGAGTCACCATTCCAACCTCGATGGGAGCTGCTCTTTGAGGCTACAGTAGATGAAGATACACAGAGTCCATGTGTGCTTCGCGGGGAGAAGTACATGAAGTCATTCTTCTTCTACCGATCGAGCAGCACTGCCACGGAGGACAAAGACATAGCATCCGGGGCTGAGTCCATTGTGCCCGCACCAATGCCAACGCTTGTTCGCGTTATCGTCGTTGTCCCGAGACGAGGCAACGTTGATGTCAACGCTATGGTAAGTTGTAAAAGACGGTCTCTTCGTTGTGTAGGCTCTAACGTCTTGATTTTTCTACTGGGATCAGCTCTTCACACCTTCAGCCGACGACATGGAACATTTTCTCAATGACAAGAACTGGAACGGCTACGATGTTGTTCTGAGCAAGAAGAACAAGGCTGGGATGTCCAAGACTAACGAGGTAAAGACAACCCTTTTGGTCAGTTGCACAGCAACAAGAGGCTAACATTTGCTCATTTGTTCACGTATTGCTAGCGATCTCTGATCGGCTACGTGACGTCAGCGATCTACGACCGGCCCAAGGGCGCTTTCCGCGCTGTCGGCTTCATCGCTTGCGAACCACTTCAGCAACTCTTCCTTGCTAGCCAGGGTCAGAAGTTCGGGAAGAAGGGCCATTACGCCCTTGCCATGCTTCGAACTCCACAAGGTCGAATGGTCCGCCCTGTGCTCGTCCAAGCCGAAGTCTAGAAATCTTGCAGCAAGGAGACCTGACAAGCAGCACGCAATAGCGGATAGAAACTGTTGGTACGGAACTCTGTGGTTTCGGATAGATGCAATAATGCAAGACGCATATCTACTTACAAATAGGCTCGCCAAGCAGACGAACATGTTACTTGATCCCGGTTGAGCTCATAAGTATTGCTTTGTTGCTCAGGGATTCTTGAAGTATGGCTTATCAACAGATATCCAGCAGGAATTTAGGCAACAGGAGAAGATGTGGGCTGGCACCAAAGCCGTCTTCAGCCTTGGGATACGTTGGACATGACAAGGGAAGCATGTCTAGCCGGCTGGGTTCGATGAAAGCGCCGGATAGCGACTTGGCTTGAGTAGTGCTGAGGCTCAATATCGATCAATAGTTCAATTGTCGTCAAAGCTTGAGGCCCCTAGCAACTCGTTGCCACTTCCCATCAGTTCGTCTTGGTCGTCCTTTGGAAATTCGTCGGTAGGCGGTGCTTTCTTCTCGTCATCTGCATCCATTGCTACAGCCACTGCTGCATCTGCATCAATGGCTCCTTCCTCGCCTGTTCCTTCCTCGCTGGATGAACTGCTGCTTTCGTCGTCGCTGGAACTGCAGTATGTTGACTTGGAACCGTTGAACAAATGCCTTGACGGGGAAACAAACTCGAACGACAGCGGTGCGAGGCTGCTTGTAGGTACAACAGGGGGTGGAGGGAGATTGGATTGGCCCAGCAGAACGGGATCAGGCTGCGGGATCTCCCATCCAAGCAGTCGACACAGCTCCTGCACAATCTCGTCTGAATATCCTAACAGCTCTACGTCAAACTTGTGTGGGCGACCCACTGGTTCTCTGTTGATTAGGATCATGGGCGTATCCTTCTTGAAGCGACCGACGATGCTGCGCACAGGGTTCACCTTGAGCGACGATCCCATGACGAGAACCAGGTCCGCTTCGCCTTCGTCACTCTTGACAGAGTCATGAAATCTCCTTGGCAAAGACTCACCGAAGAACACGATGTCAGGTTTGACGATTCCATCCGGCGAATTACAAGACTGACACATAGGCACCCGCTGATTCAGCACGTCCTCGCGGATCGCGTCGTTCGGGTACGTCCGTTTGCAAGCTAAGCACGTTGCCGTCGCGAAGGAACCGTGACAAAGCACAGCGTGCTCGTGAGAAATACCCGCTGCGTGTTCCAGCATGTCAATGTTCTGAGAGAGATAACACTGGAGTTAGATTGAGGTTAAGATGATACGTGAGCTGGGAATTATTTACCTGGCTGTAAATTCGAAGTAGCTTGCCCTTCTCCTCCAGCAGCTTTAGGAAATAGTGACTGGGAGATGGTACAAACGTGAACCCGCTGGATTTGGGAAATAATTCTTTTGCAAACGCGAAAAACGGCTTCGGGTTGGATCGAAAGAACTCGATGTCTACAAAGAGTAAAAGCAATGACGTTAGCTAAACGCTACTCTACCAAAGCGTTGAGATATCTCGTACCGAACATGCACTGCGGGTTTGGAAGGTTGTACTCACCAAGGCGCTGTAAAAGCACGCAGAAACAAGGTCAATGACCTCCACCATCACAGCGCAAAGCGAAGCCATCACGTACACTGTAAATGCCATTCTCGGATCGAAAGTCAGGGATACCGCAGGACACTGAGATACCTGCTCCAGCCAGCACCACAATCTTCTTGCTCGAGCGCAGCAACGATGCCACATCTTGAAGCGTGTTGACACTATCCAACTTCTCTCGTGGTCTCTGCAGTCACACGAAGCACATCATATAAGTACCCAATATTCACTCCCACAACACTAGCTACGCACCGTAGCTGCTGGCTTGATAAGTCGAATGCCCATGGAGAACATGGCTTCCCACAGTTCATCATCATCCACCGCCACTCCGTCCGACACACCCAAGCCCAGAGCATCCAGCATCTGCCCGGCAGGCATCCCAGCGGTCTTCTGGTCCATTAGCCAATTCATAAAGGCCTCTTCATTGACGTCGCTTTCTTCGGAGGATGAATCGTCGTCGTCCCCGAATGGCGGCACAGGTGTCGGCACAGCTGAACCTGAACCGGAGTCGTCCACTTGGTCCTCTTCAACGTCCGGCGCGTCCGTCTCGTCGCTCACTTGGTCTCGCGATTCAGTAATTGCTGAAGCTGCGTCCACTGCATCTGCAGCTGAGTACGGAGACGTTGAACCTGGTGCAGGGGCTGGAGGGGGCGTTGCTTGTTCATATTCGTCGTCTGAAGCCCGCTGTTTCTTGCTGGGCGGTGCGTTTGAGTGCATATTCATGCTCACGCTACGGTTTCGGTTGCCTGTGGCGCTGGGACTGCCTCCTCCGCTGCTGGGGCTGTCTGGGCTGGTCTGCTCTACCATGGCAGGTGGGGGGCTACTATTACTAACGGTTACGGTACTATTGTCCGGAATTGATTGCTCCATTTCGGTACTTGAGCGTCGAGAAACGGCGTCGGGAGTAATTTGAGCAGCAATGTCTCTGGGGTAGGCGAGTTCTTAAAATCTTGGGATTCTACTGCTTGGACTGCGGGTGCTACACGCTCGGACGTGCTTATAGAGCGAGGGAGACCGAGGACCGCCGCCGCAAGTTTCGTTCTGGCCCGAAGAAGGCGCGCGCTTTTGGTTAAAGTTAGAGGAGGTTAGGGTACGTTTTTGAAAGAGAGCAGCTCGATTTCTTTTCATCAAACCAATATCCTGTTATACTTGATCAAAAACAAATTGCAAGCATTCTGTAAAATAACCGCTATATTTATATAAGCTGTCAAAGTATTATCATTTGATTTGTTTAGAGATGTTAGAGATAAGGTACTTCGATGATTTTAGCCAATGAGAAGGTTGTGTTGTGAACACGAAAGCGACGTGTCACTGCTGACGTTGAAGTGGTTGGTTGTGGATGGGATACCGATTTGATCACGATGACGTGGCGATCCGGAGTGCTTGCGGCTAGTAAATAGCCTGCTACCATGCCCTACATCACAAGTGTGTGGAGTCAGCCTATGTTGACTTGTGAATCTTATTCTTTGATCAATGGGCGATGGGCTTAGCTACAGTAATCCGACTGATGACTCGAAGACCTGCGGCACCGCACGTCTACAACGGCTACGTTAACCGTATTCGTCTACACATGGCTACATGACGTGTCGGATATCTCAAAATACTACCGGACCCTTTTTATGGCGTGAATCCGAAAATCCGAAACGACCAGCTAGCCTCTGTCTGCTGTATTGCTCTTCTCTCCAATGCCCACGTCGCCGGCGCCTCGATCCGTGAAGAAAGCGGCAGCTAGTCCTGGTGCAGGCTCGGGGCCTAGCGCTCCATCTCCTGTGGGATCCCCAACTCGATCCAGCAAGAAGAAGTCGCAGAGCAGTCACATTGACCAGCAGCTTCTAACACTCGAACATGACGGTGGCAATCGCCACTCGAAGCAGCTGACGTTGTGCCTGAATGAATATGCCAAGAAGATCGACGATCTACAGGAAAAGAACCGTCGACTAGAGGAAGAGGTGCGTGTCTCGATGTCATAAACGTCCCACTCGCGACGCTGTCCACCCATCCTGAGATCGTTTGATTGTGTATTAATGTCAACATGCAGCTGGCATTCGACGATCACTTGGCGCGTGACGACCCGTTCTTCAATGAGCAGACGGCCGAGAAGCTCTCCAACTTGTATCTGCAGGGCAATAACTTTATGATCCGCTTGGAGTTGGAGCGGAAGGAGGTGGCACGTTTGAACGCGCTAATTCAGTCGCAGGAGACGATCCTGGCACAACAGAAAATGAAGCTGTATGAGTTGGCTGCTTTGGACCACAACCATGCCATCATGCTGGGCCGTGTTCGAAAAATGGAGCACGATATCGACCGCCGACTTGTCAAAATGAATGAAAAACTTAACCGCAATCGACAATTGCGAGAGATTATTGATGCTCATCGAGCTGAGCGTGCCCTCATGGATGATAGCTTCACCAAGATCTCGACGGAGACGCTGTCAAAGCGGCACAAAGTGGCACGAATTGGTGAAGAAGTGGAGAAGCTGCGTCAGGAAATCGAAACTATTGAACAGGAGATAGAAGATGCTCGACAAGAAGGAGAGGAGTGGGAGATGACGTGCGACCGGCGTGCGGCTGTTCTACTACAAGAGCTTAAAGAGATCGCTTTGAACCAAAAGGATGCAGGGGAACTGGTTGACGTGGAAAAGTACAAGTTTTTGGGCGAGAACGATATCATGAAAACTGTTTCAGAGGCGAAGGAGAGTGAGATACAGTCGCGAGCCAAGCGCAGCAAGTGGAAGAGTGGCCAAGCCAAAGTCACTACGGACGCAATGCTGACGAAGTATCAAGAAAACCGCACGTATATCGAAAGGATCCATGAAGTCTCGGGCACAAAGACCGTATCAGAGATGATCGACGCGTTCAACAACCAATATCCTTCTCGAGTTGATTTGTGTTGCTAGCTCCATGTATTCTCCATGTTTGATTGGTTTTCCTTGACCGTCTATGATGTCCGATGAATCTTCACGGAGGCAGAACATTTTGATCGCATTCAGCACGTGAATCAACTGGCCGAGGAGATTGAGAATCACCGTCAAGTAAGCACCAGATTGCGCGAGGAAATTGGACGGTACGTGCAATAGAATATGCTAGGTTAGCGGTATGTTGCTTACTGGCGCTCTACATCGCTCAGACTGAAGCAGCGCAAGGATTCGGTTGATTTTCAGCGCATGAATCGCATTGAAGGACTCCGTTCAAAAATTCAGTACACGAATGACCAGAGGAAGCTGAAAGAGAATGCGAACCGCGAAATGCAGACGTTCTTGGAAGCGATTAAACCAGCGGTCTTACTCTTCCACTCGCGCATTGGATGTTCCGATGTTCACAGTGAGTTTGCATTCTCCGACATTCAAGGATACGTATGTAGCTTACGCGGTGTTGTTAGCCGATGACATGAAGCAGGTGCTTAGTGACATCGAAGAGCAGATCGTCACAGTGCTGCAAGCGTACCATGCCAAGGTGGAGGCCATCAAAAAGGAGGAGGCCTTAAATCAACCTACCGTTGCCACCAGCTTACCGTCGCAGGCATCTCCTGTCAAGCGCAAGGCTTCTGTGGCGGTAGGAGCACGCACTCGCCGCAGCAGTGTGGTACCCAAGGCCGTGGCAGAGTCCATCAGCGAAGCTCGGACAAAATCAGCTGCTGCGATTTCGCCCTCGACAGCAATTGGTGCAGCCAAAGTGACGCAACAAACACAACAAGCGCCTGTGTCTGACGCTGCGGATGGCGACAAATCGTCCAGTGCGAAGGCCGTCAACGCAATGCTGTCGAAGCGGCAGCCGTATCGTTACACTGGTCTTCGGCCGCCTCACTTGTCCGTGGAAGAGCTGCGCAAGAAAGACAACGTCGAAGAGGAATACCCGCTAACTTACCATGAGCTCAAGGTCAAAGTCTGGCACAGTGATACATCCCAGTAACTTTCCGGCAACTTGTATCCAGGCTTATGCACGTCGACCCCAAGCAATCTATTACGCAGGAAAATATGGAGAAGAGCTTGTCTAATTTGCGTTCGCTTCACTTACTCCGTTTTCGCTTTCTTCACCTCCGGCTCCTCTACCTTATCTAAAGCAAACGATAGGAAAAACACGATTAGATAAGCAGATTACCAACAGGTTCAAGACTGTTTTACTCACCCTCGCTCTTCGAAGCAGGAGTAACGTTGTCATTCCGGTTTCCGACAGCACGAGCCTTCGGTCCCCAATTCGGTTCAGGGTTCAGAGGAAAACGCAGCGCCTTGGGCTTGTCATTCGGTCCCGGTCGCTTGGACGAGAAGTTCGCCTCGAACTTAGGCTCCTTAGCTAGAATGCGACTGCCCGGAGTCTCCTCACCGTCACGCTTCTTGTTCAGCGGATGTTTCTTCACCCAGCAGCGCATAATGTCCCAGATAACGTCGTTCGGCGCGGTGGTCTTGATAGCTTCAGGAATTTTGTGAAACTGCGAGACTTCGTAACCAGCGTGGCGAATGGCGCCCTGAATCTGTGACATACGGGGATTGGAGCAGTGCAGGACCTTGCTCAAGCCCGGAAGAGTGTAGTGCAGTGGAGCGTCCACAAGTTCTTCGGAGATCGTAGTCAGTAGTCCGTGCAGGCGAGGCTTTGTAGGGAACTCCGACGTGCTCTTCTCAACGCGGTCGCGGATCTTCAGCACGACGTCACGGCTGTGGAGAGGAGCCGACCAGATCGGCCCCGCCATCTTGTACTTACCCTTGCACTGATCACACTCCTGACCGACGATCGGGCCACGAGAGGCGTGATAGGTGTTCCCGCTCGACACTCCGAGTGGCTGCAGGTGGAAACTCTCGCACTGGACGCACTGGTAGACGTACGAGAGCTTGGTCATCGCCTTCTTGACATTCACCGGCGACTTGTACACACGGACGAACACACGCACGTAGAAATCAATGCTGCACGACGCAATCGGCACAATGTGGCGCGCGTAGCGGTTGGCTGACGACTCGATTGTCTGCAGTACCATACGCAGCGCCATCTCGTGCAAGTAGTGCGACTTGTTGGGTAGCGCTCCATAACGAGAGAAGCAGACCTCAGGCTGCTTACCCGACAGAACGGGCATGTCCGTGCACGTCACACAGAGCAGTCCACCGTTGGCGACGCTCTGGACAGCGCTGTCCAAGAAGATCGAGGCGGATCCGTACGGGTCCAAATCAATGACATCGAATTGGTCCGCCGGCTTTCTGTGGTTGTACATGACATCGGTGGCGTCAGCTTCATTGGGGATGACTCGATCCAGTGGTAGCTCATTGAACGCAACGTTGCGCTTGATGGTTTCCACTGCTGCAGGGTCCATGTCGTTCACCAGGATGGACTTGACACCAGGAATCTGTTGGAAGTAGCGAATAGAGCGCAGACCAGAGGCCGAGAGCGCTTCAAAGATGCGAATGCCCTTTTCCTCGGCCGTATCGGTCAGGTGCTTCTCGATCTCTTCATCCGTGTACTCCTTGGGTACGAAAGTGGCACCTTCACCTGCTGCGTTCGCTGCTTTGCGCGCCTCCTTGGTCAGCTGCTCACGCGCACGGGTCCGAGCAAACTCGGAGATCATGGCGATACTTAGGTCGCGGTTGAGTACCTGCACGGGGTTGTAGAAGACCTGGTTCTGCTCTGGGAAGATCATAACTCCATTGCCCTCACGAATGATTTTGTGGCCCGCCGGTGCCTCCTTATTCTGCAGCGTCTGCGCTAGCGAAGCAGCAGACGATGAAGGCATTGTTCTATTTAGTCTGCAGAGAGAGCGAGGGCGTCGGAAGAGAGATAGCAACGTCGAACAGCCAAGGAGCATGCACAATGGTCAAATCCACTAGTGACGCTCGATGACTGGTCGAAGCGATAAATCCTGTGTTATGGAATACCTTAATGTTGAACTTGTGGCATCGAATACCGGTATTCGACCACTATTTTGGTGTAACCACTTCAGTTTATGTGGAAGAACACCACATGATTTGAGGGGAGAACGAGGTGCGGAATTGAGCCAAAACGAGATCGAGGCAGCAGCTACAGCATCTAACGTGGATATAGCTGGCAGAGTGATTGTTTCATGGATGGACGGTCGAGTGCAGACCACCGCAGAGGTACCGTACTCTCCAGATCTAGCAGATTTACAGCTCAATACTCGCAATACAAGCCGTGGATCCATATCTACTTGGAGTGACGTCACACCTTGTTCATCCCACGCCTAATTGGTGCATAAAATCCTTGGTACTGCAGGTGGAGGCCGAAGCGGTGGCTTGAGACGCAAAGGCAGCGGTGGACGAGGCACATACCGACGCGTACAGACATCGGTGGGCGAGTCGACGGATGATGCAGGCTCTAAAACAAATCCAGGTAACCATCGCTCTGTGCAGGTGGTGGACGATTCCAATGACGAAGCCCCGTCAGCGCCATTTCAGTCCTCACTGCGGTCCTCGCTCAAGGACTCAATCAAGAAGAACGATCGCAACAGCCCGAAGGCGGACTTGCAGGTGCAGACCAAAGGACAGCGCCAGGTTATCTCGCTGTCTTCACCGTCACCACAGAAGGGAGCGGGGCAGACCAAGAAATTTGTCAGTAGCTTGGCAAAGTCCATTGGGCGGGATGATGACCGAGGATCGAGACAGGACAGGGACGATCGAGGAGGACGAGCAGTGCAGGGTTCGTCATTGCGTCGCTCGAATAGTCGGGAGCCGCCGAGGCGTTCAAACAGCAGGGAACCTCCACGACGCTCTAATAGTCGAGAGCCTCTGCGTCGTTCTAACAGTCGAGAGCCAAGGCAGTGGTCTGGTGAAGCTCAAGGATCGTATCGACCTGGCAACCGATCGGTTTCAAGAACCAGATTAACGAGAAAAAACAGCACGGACAGCGTGTCGTCGCAGCGATCAGACCGCAGCGACAGAAGCTATCGCAGTGAGCGTTACAGCGAGGAATATCGATCATGTCTTAACGATGGGCCGCAACCTGTGCGCAGACTCTCTAGCGGTCCAACGCCGTTTAAATCGTCTTTGGCGGGGTCTCTGATGAAGAGCTCACAAGACGTCCGCGTCAAGAAGGAACGCCCGGCGTCTGGGACAATTGGCCGTTCATTTGGCAAACAATCGCAAGAAGCGTCACGACGATCGTCACTGGATGGAGGGGCTGCATCGCTTCGTAGAGTCAACTCAAGCTCCCCAGTTGGATCGTCGGGAAACCGATTCAAGTCTCAAGATGCTCGATGGGCAGGTTCTTCAGAGTCACAGCGGCCGTCGTCTGGACCTGGTGGACTAAAGAATAATACTCCTGCTGGCGATTCGATTTCGCCGAAGCCAGAGAAATCTAATGTTGCTCATGAAAAGGAGGATACAGCTGCCAAATCCCCTGCAGCCCCCGTTGTCGACGAAGCAGAGCGTAAACGTCTTGCAGATACACTTCGAGAACGCATGGAAGCCCGGAAACTTGATCGCAGTAGCAGTCTGGCTCAAATGATGAAGGCGCCATTAGAGCGTAAGGGCTCAATGGAAAGCGAGGCACGACAAAGTCCACTTGGTTCAAGAAAAGAACTCGATAATGATAAAGCTGCAAGTAGCAGTAATGCGGAAAAGGACGCGAGAACCCGCGAGTATTACGCTAAACTCGACAAGGAGAACACGGAGCGAGAGGCTGCACGACGCGCTGCTCCATTCAAGTCCTCATTGACGTCATCAATCGAGTCTGGTCCAGCCAAAATCCAGTCGTCGCTTGCAGCATCAATTGATGCTGCACCGCCTCGAACCCTCAAGTCTTCTTTGACAGCATCGATGGAAACCAGACCAGTGCGGACGCTTAAGTCGTCGTTGGCAGCAGCGCTTGCACCATCTCGATCGACTGCGACACGCGCCAAGAAGCTGCAGTATTCGCTCGCAGAGCTGAGGAGGTATGACACCGATGGTATGAGTTTTCTCGCTTTTAGTGTGAAGCTAACGATCTTGTTTATGTGTTTTATGCCACTGAGAACAGACTCGTGGAATTTGCACTTCCTAGACCAACAGATCTTATCGACATGAAAATCGTGGATGTCACTCAGATTCGTGACCCGGCTTCGGTCATTAAACGATCATCAGGAGTGGGCTATGGCATTGGTAGATCTATTGGAGGCAGCATTAGAAAAGGCGAGCGTTCAGGTGGTCGTGGAGCGAGAGGCCAAGGTGGTTTGAGAGATGGTAGACTCGACAAACAAGGCCGCGGTGGCCGTGGTGGTGGACGCGGAGGTCGTGGCGGAGCTGGTGGCCGTGGCGCTTACGGCCGACCACCTCCACCACCGCTTTATGATGGTCCAATTGAGCCTCTGACCGTGTCCGAGAACCGATGGAAACCCACGAAGGAGAAGGATATCTCTTCTCTCGAGAAGACGCTGAACAATGTGAAGAGTATGCTGAACAAGCTCACGAGAGAAAAGTTTGCTAAGCTCACAAACGAGCTCTGTGCAGTCGACATCGACAGTTTTGCCCTGTTGAGTTCGATTGTCTCAATTATTATGGATAAAGCCTTGGAGGAGCCCAATTTCGCGGACGTGTACGCTGATCTGTGCAAGGAATTCCACACGCGGACAGTTAAGAAGACCTGGGGCTTTTTGAGTGTGCTGAGTGATGAAAACGGCTCATTTTATTGGACGGGGGTTGACAAGGCAACATTTACGTCATTTGCTGGCCCATTCGACAGCCCACGCAGCTGTCTTGAAGATGTTAACTCTGCTGAAAGTGCCACTACTTCGACGTCCGACTGCGAATCTATTCCCTCTATTAATTTCCGTCGTCACGGGGACTACTTAGTGGCAGTGGGTGAGAAGGAGCCGGGAGTTTTCTACTACTCCAAGCGGAAAATGAGTGAAATTGGCGACGATGAACCATTCGGAGGGCCGTTCGAGTCTGCTGAACTTGCACGGCACGCGGCCGCAACTCAAACCACGTTCACTCGACTTCTAGTTAACCGTTGTCAGGGCGAGTTCGAGAAGACGAACAAGCACATTGGCTCTCAGGAAGAGAAGAAGGAGGAGGAGGTTGATCCTCGACGTCGTGAAATCTTGGCCATGCGTGCGAAGGCAAAGATGCTGGGTAACATCCGCTTCATTGGTGAACTGTACAAGGTTGATCTGATCAAGCAATCCGGAGTTCAAGGATGTATCTTCTACTTGCTAGGACTGGAGTTAATACCTGGAGAAGATGGCCAAGAAGTGCAGGCTCAGGCTGTGCGCTTTCCCGACGAACACGACCTGGAAGCACTGTGCAAGATGTTGGCGACGGCTGGCAAGAAATTCGACCAGCCGAAAACGAAGACGATCATGAAGATCATCATCCTGCGCATGGTGGAGCTGTCAAATGACGCGAAATTGCCGTCTCGAGCTCGATTCCTGGTCAAGGATGTCTTAGAAACACGAGATCACATGTGGGAACCTCGTCGCAAGGAGTTGCAGCAGAAGACTCTGGATGAAGTTCGAAAAGAGGCGCAGAAACTCCAGCAGCAAGGAAAGAATGCCCAGCATGACGATGTACAACGACGTCGCCATAAGACGCGCATCTCGAGTGCTCAGCTCGCGAAGCAGAGCAGCAACCTCATTGTGGCCAAGAAGGAGGAGCCCGAACATGAGGAAGCACAGGAACTATCCCCCGCTCAGATGTCAACTCGTATCAAGAGCATCATACAGGAATACCTTTCTATCTTGGATCTGGATGAAGCTACTGCATGCGTCCAGGAGCTACCCGTGGATCCGTACCATGTCGAGTTTACTGAACAAGTCATCAACACGGCGTTGGAAGGTAAGACCAACGAACGTGAACATGCAGTGGAGCTGCTTGTTGGGCTGTATGCGCGTGGTGTGCTGGACGCAAACTCCATTCAGACAGCGTTGGTGAATGTGATGGAGTTCCTGGAAGACATGAAGATCGATCTGCCGTTGATTCACCAGTACTCGGCGCTGATCTTTGGTCGCTTAGTGGCTTCTGGCTGCTTTGGCTTGTCGTGGATTATCTCGGAAGCACTGGCTCATTGTGTGGAGTGCAAACTCACATCTTTGGTGTTCCCCGAAGTGCTATCGGTGTTGGAAATGGAGAGCGACGAGACGATGGTGATCCGAATGCTGACGGATGAGGAGATCACCCCGGAAAGTGTACTGCCTACAGCGATGAGGAATGAGGTCGATGTGGAAGCATATCTGCGTGGAAACGGCATCGAAGACTTCTTTGGTGACGAGGAGGACGAGCTGGATGAAGAAGTTGCTGGAAAGATGCGTAGCACACTGGAGGAGTATCTGTCTGTGAAGGACTTCAACGAGGTGGTGCTGTGCATCGAGGAGTTGGAAGCCGTATCTGATCGCTGGCGACACTTTGTGCACATCGCGTTGGCGTTCAGTTTAGAAGAGAAGCAAGCTGTACGCAGGGGCGTGGCGGAGTTGCTTGTTCAGCTCTTTACAAGCGAGAAAATCTCATCCGAAGACATCGAGACCGCTGTTGAGATCATCTTAGACGACTACGATGACTTGCGAGTTGATATCCCTCGACTTGCTGTGAATCTGAGCGAGCTTTGGACACCGTTGTTCGCTAAGGAGGCTCTGTCAGTGCAGTGGTTGAGCGAGGCGTGCTCTCATCTGGTTGATAGCGGTCGCGCAGCGGATGTACTTGATGCTTTACTGTCTTCACTGGAGGCGCAGGATGGGCGAGAGGCTCTAGTGAACTGGTGGAAGAAGCAGACAGACGTGGATGCTGTTTGGACGCAGATGTCGCCTGCAGAAGATGGTAAGCCCAAGGACGAGCGACTAGCGAAGTGGAAGTTGGTGTTGCAGTGACACATTCAACACTGTCGAGATAGGTACAAGGCTTTCAGTGCATGGAGAAGCCAATGAAGAGGGAAAAGGACTGCCTGATGTGTATGGATAAGGGAGTCTGTGTGAATATGAACAATTGTGCTGCAATAGTGTTATGGGTGTTTGAGTCTCAGCTCAGTTTACTGGATGGTGCACAAGCAGCCTTGGCTCGAGTCTGGTCCGCAGCCTGGCACTTCTGTATCCACCGCAGCGACTTCACTGGGCGCTGATACTTGCTCTTTACCGTCAGCAGCCTTCGAGACCTCGTAGATTCGCACCTCGTATGTGCTGGTTGGATTGAGGTCGTCCAGAACAACCTCAGAAGCTCCAATCGCTGCGTCCACGTGTTGCGCACCCTGCTCCCACGTGGAGCCAGCTTCTTTGTACTCGTAACGATACCAGGAATCAGTGGATGGCGCCACCTCCAGCGTCACGGAGAACTCGGAGCGCGTCTTGAGCTTCGCCGGCGCGGGTTTTTCGACAGACGACGCCATTATGAGACTGCTTTAATTTTGGACTGAACTTGACCTCGTGAACTGGTGTACACGTTGTGTGCACGGATTGACCACTTCAACATGATGTTCACGTACACCAACTAACCTCCATCTCCACAGACGTACTTCGTAAGTACATGTACAGCAGCATTCCGTGAGCACAATACTTTAAAGTCTGGTTTCATTGCAGTAGCGTGTGTATTTATTTAAGCCTCTCTGTCGCGTACCGAGTCGTCGCCTACATTTGGCTGCTCTTCGACTCTGCACGGCCGAGCGTCTGATCTAGTTGTAGACCATGTACTTGGGCGTCGACGAGAACTTCTTGTATCCCTTGATGACCTTGTTGACCGACTCGAGGAAGTCCTTCTCACTCACGGATTTACGGCGCGCGCGAATAGCGAACATGCCTGCCTCTGTGCACACACTGCGCAGCTCAGCACCAGTCGTGTTGGGGCACAGACGACTCACCAGCTCGAAGCGGATACCGCGGTCGCAGTTCATGCTCTTAGCGTGGATCTTGAGGATCTGAGTGCGGCCTTCCAGTTCAGGCAGGTTGAACTCGACCTTACGGTCCAATCGACCGGGACGCATGAGCGCCGGGTCGAGTGTATCGGGTCGGTTCGTGGCCATCAGCACCTTAATGTTACCACGAGGGTCAAAGCCATCCAGCTCCGTAACGATCTGCAACATGGTGCGCTGCACTTCGTTATCCGTGCCTCCCTCCTCGGAGCTACTACGCGCTCCACCGATAGCGTCCACTTCATCAAAGAACACGATACAGGCCTTTTTGGATCTGGCCATAGTGAAGAGTTCACGCACCATACGAGCACCCTCACCCACGTACTTTTGCACCAATTCACTACCGATAACGCGGATGAAGCAGGCATCAGTACGGTTAGCCACAGCACGGGCCGACAGCGTCTTGCCCGTTCCAGGTGGTCCGTAGAGCAGCACACCCTTGGGCGGGTCGATACCCAGGTTGACAAACCGTTCAGGGTGAAGAAGAGGCAGCTCCACGACCTCTCGCAGCTTCTCCAGAGCGTCCTTAGCGCCACCAACGTCATCGTACGTGACGTCAGGCTTGTCCTCGACCGTCATAAGCGACACAGTGGGGTCGATCTTGGGCGGCAGCGGGATCTGGATAGCGTATTTAGTGCGGTCCACACCGACGCGCATACCCTCCTCGATATCGGTGGGTGCGACCTTCTCGCCCAATCCCACAACGAACTTGGCGATCTGCTTGACGTTAATCATGTACTTGGCGTCTTCTTCGCCGGCGTTAATGATCTTGGTGCAGCGCGCCACCTGCAGCGGCTGCTCCTCCTGCATCATCTGCTTGTCGCTCACGAGATCCCATTGGCTCGGCAGACTCAGTCCTGTGTCGCTCTCCTTGATGCCGATGAGATCGTTCACGGCCTTCTGTGCCTTCTTAATGTCCTCCTCTACCTGCTTGATCACGCGCGAGTACGGGCCCAACCCGTACGTTTTGAGGAGGGCAATATCGCCCTCATCTAGCACCGTTTCCGGCCCCGCCAACAGGTCATCCTCCTCGTTGTCGTAGTCCTTGGTGTTGGAAGTCTGGCACTCGCCTGCCGCCATGTTGCTTCGGTTTTGTATTGGGGGAGAACAGAACAAGATCCTTTGTGTACGGCACCTCAATTTTTTATGGTGTCCGTACTTAATCGAAGACACCCTCTCTTCCAACTTAAATTTCGTTGTGAATTTGAAAACATAGTAGTACATGTGCCAATAATCTTCTGGAGTGCTATTTTTATGATTTTTTTTTTCAAAAAATGGTTGTCCACACTGGGAACATAAACGGACGTTTTTTTGTTTTGTCGCGTACAAAGTTAACCTAAATTTTCAGTTTGCATTTTGACAATAGCTGGCTGGTCAATAGATTCGACGATGGCAGCACTGGGCGTGATGGCGGAGGCGGCGAATGCGCGGCTACTGCAGGAGGTGCATACCTAAATATCTGCTCTTCATAATGTATATACACCTAATATCGTATTCCTGCTTGTTTCGTTGCCGCAGCGCATTGAGAGCGTCCGTGAGCAAGTGACGCAGCTGCAGGACCAGGTGGACCGCTTCGACGCCGTAGCCGATACGCTGACAGAGTTGCCCAAGAAGCTCTCACACAAAGTTATGGTACCTCTGGGCAAGCGCGCAATGGTTCCGGGCAAAATTGTGCGCTCCAACGAGGTGCTAGCGCATCTTGGAGACGAATATTTCTCGTGGCGTTCGACTCCACAGGCGCTTGAGATCATTGAACGGAAGAAGAAAGGTGCAGATGACACTCTGTATTGCAATTCTAAGACTGTATTGAAAATGGTTTTTATGGTGTTTCTGCAGCTCTTCGCAAGCAGATTGAGATGCAGGAGGAGAATCTACGGGAACTCAGCGCCAAGCAGACGGATGTAGGCAGCGTCGCGCAGCTGCAGAAAATGTACGAGGACGAGAATATCCGCGAGATTCAGGAGACAGAAGAGGAGAGTGAACTCGGCCCGATCCCTCGTGCTACGGGTGAAGGTGAGGATGAGTTTTGGACTGCTGGATGAGTATGTGCTGATGTTTGATGCTTTGTACAGACATCAAGGAGTACTTTGAGGTTGAGGAGGAGGAACGACTGAAACAGGAACAGGCGGCGTGGAACTGGGACGACATGATGAAGCGTATGGAGGATCTAGAAGCACGTGAAGCTGCTGGTGAAGGCTTGGAGGACAAGACAACGAAAGAAGAAGAGTCGGCAGAGGCGCAGGCTGCTGCTCTGAAAGCCAAGGGCAATGATGCCTTTGCTAGACGGCGATTCCAGGCTGCTATTCAGTATTACTCGCAGGCAATCGAGCTGGACCCGACGTCTCATGTGCGTATGAGTCGAGAGGTGTCATGTGCTGTCAGCTAATGAGTTTGTGTGTCGTTCTACCCGCAGATTTTGTATGGCAACCGCGCTGCAGCATATCATCGTCTGAAAAAGTATAAGCAGGCACTGGACGACTCTGACGTTGCTGTCTCGCTGCATGAACCGTGGGTGAAAGGACACTACCGCAGAGCGTGTGCATTGGCTGCACTGGAGCAGTTTGAAGACGCAGCTGAAGCCTATGAGCGTGCCATGGAATTGTGTCCTACTGACGAAAATCTAGGAGAAAAGGCAAAGCAGATGCGCGAAAAGGCCAAAGCGAAGGCAAATGGGGATAACGTTGCTGCCCAAGTAGCAGAATCGAAACCCCAGTCGGCACCAGCACCGTCAACAGTGGAGCCTGTGCCTGTCACTTCGCCGTCTTTGAAGCCTCCGGTACCAGCTTCTTCCTCGACTTCGTTCGTCTCGGCTTCTTCTGCATCAACGGCATTTTCTGGCAGCATCGTGGAGCATGAGATCACGGAGAAGACGTCGACGCCTGTGTCAGCACCCGTGGCCTCTCCATTTTCGGGACCTCGGCAGTCACGCTTCCAAGGCACCAACTACACTGGCCAAACCGTGACTCTAGAACCGGTCGGCGAGGCTGTAAGTACTCGTAGTTCTTTCTTTAAAGGGGTTGTATTCCTGACATCGTTCGCTTTGTGCTTTGACCTTTTAGCAACCGGTGAAACGAGTTTCTCGCTTCAAAGCAGCGAGGGCAGCTCGAGGGTCAAACTAGACCACAATTTTGAATGTGAGATGCTTGAATGGTACTAGATTGGCACGACAAGTAAAGCACGCAATACAGAAAGTCTACGTAGAGGATTTCACAATATATTTACCAGCCATCGCTTTGAGTCTGCTAGCATCAGCTAGTGTCTTCTACTTGATCCCTTTACCAGTCTCCTGTCATAGCAGCGTCGCTCTCACGTGCATCGCGTTCTTTTCGCTTGGCAACAGCAGCCAACGGCTTCATGAACGAAGACTCGAAGAAATCTACGTACTTCTTCATACTCGTTGCAGATTTATCCGAGTCAAGCTCCTCGTGCAGTTGACCCAGAGTGGGCACCTTGAATGGATCGAAGCTCTCCATCGAGGAAATGTCAATGGGAACACAGACGCGGCCTGTCTTGGGGTGGACGGCGAATGGACTCTTTAGCAAGTGATTCCGCTGCTTAGACACGTTGGCATCTAGTCGTGGGTACAGATACGCCAGCACGATCTCCTGGAGACACGTGCGTAGTTCGGCTGCCATGAAACGCTTGTTAGCGTCACTATTAGGTGCCTGGCGCTTAACGTTGCTGCCACTGCGCGCAGAATTGGCATTCTTCAACACCTGCTTCTCCACGGCATCTCTAAGTTCACGCCACTTCTCGGCCGGACCGGTGTTGCAGTTTGTGGCACTCCAACGACGCGTCATGTTAGCGCGAATGTCCTCGTCAGGCACCATAGCCAACAGCTTGTTCCACTGCTTTTCCGAGCACATAATTCCTTGACCCTTGTCCGACAGAATCATGTCTTCAAATAGCGGCTCCAGCAGGCGATAAGCACGGCTATCAGTCAGTAAAAAAAACGTCAGCAACAGATCTAACAGAAGCGTGCAACTTAACAGTAATTAGCTCACTCGAGTGACGGGTGCAGTGGCTCACGTAGCTTGACTTTCCTCGCTGAGTTCTCATTGCCTTCCACAAGCGACAGGTATCCGATCACTGCCGATCGGGCCTCGTTCTCCAGCTCACGAGCGCGCTCGTCCGCGACCCAGCAATGGATACCACGACGTCCAGAGTACACCCAGAGCAGGTTCTCGAAGCCAAAGTCCTCGCGTAACGCGGCGTTCAGCACCTTCACGGCCGCGACCATGAATTGCCAGCAGCGATTGCAGATGGCGGCTCCTTCGCAGCACGTCCGGATGTCGTCGTAGTCTGTAAGATCGATATCGAAGACGAGCTCGCGTTGTTCGGGTGTGAAGTCCGCAGCGCTGACCTTGCCCTTGTCAGCGGGTGATACGGAGAAGACGGCGCCGATATCGATTTTGAAAGGCATCGTCTTGCACATGCTCGTCTTGAGCTCCTCCGCATTGTGGAAGGCCTTGTAGCGGATGTACGTATCGTTCTCAAGGGTGTACGACAGCTCACGGCGGAACAGGAACTCCTCCCCTGTACATGTAGTAGAATGCATTTAGCCATTGGTGATGGCACATTACTCCGTATAGAGAGCTAAACGCACCTCCGTCGTAGCTTAGCCACTGCGTCATTTGTTGGTACGGAAAGAGTCGATCTGGAGGGCGCCACAAACAACAATAAGAGAAGTGTGAGCGTTCATTGGATGCATAATGAAGTAGGTGAGATAGTGGTGACGGTCAGTTGGCTGTACGCACCATAGTAGAGCTGCAGCAGCTCCGCGGAGAAGTCCTCTTGCGGCATGGCGCGTTCGGTTGCACTTTTGGCGCGACAAAAAATGGCGGCAAAGACGTTTCTAACCTATTTCTAACTAAATTTCTATAACTTTTTAACATTTCAAGTTGATGTGCATTTTAGCCACTTTAGGCTTGTGGGTCGTAATAATATAGGCTTGAATGGCATTCAGACGAAAACACCCATTAAAAATTTAATGGGTTTTTTCGTCTGAATGCCATCCCAGCCAATCAGATCTCGCGAAATATTTTTCCGTTCCCTTTTAAGTTGTGGCAGCGTTTTGAGTGGCTACGGGCTTTCACTGGTTCAGGGCCGCTCAAGTTTCTCCGACCCGCTCCACAGTCTGACAGTACCGAAATAACTCCGTCGGAATCATGGGTAAGCTTCGCGGCCGCTTCTCTTCTGTCTAGTCTCCTGTCTCGCGATTGGTCTGCCGTGGAGTTCTCCGTGAGGTGGAGGTGCTTCTGTCACGTGTCGAGCGTCGGGTCTGAGTGCAGCTCCCCGGTTCGTCCGGCCCCAGACTCTCTGCTGCATCCCAATTTGGGCAGCATTCGAGTCTGTGGGTTCTCTGCCTCGCTGTCGTCCCCATGATGCTGCTCCGACACAGAGTATCGGTCCGTCATTTTTTCTAGTTGCTAACTTCTAGTTGCATTGATTGCCAATAGGTATCTCTCGCGATTCGCGTCACAAGCGCCGTGAAACTGGTGGCAAGCGCAAGCAGTTCCGCAAGAAAAGGAAATTCGAGCTCGGCCGTCAGCCCGCTAACACCAAGCTCGGTGGCAAGCGTGTGCACGCTGTTCGTGTGCGTGGTGGCCACCTGAAGTTCCGTGCTCTGCGCCTTGAGACCGGCAACTTCTCGTGGGGCACGGAGGTGTGCGCTCGCAAGACGCGTATCCTCGATGTCGTGTACAACGCCTCGAACAACGAGCTTGTGCGTACCAAGACGCTCGTGAAGGGCGCTGTGGTGCTGGTGGATGCTACCCCGTTCCGTCAGTGGTACGAGGCCCACTACGGCGTCAAGATCGGCGTCAAGAAGAACGCTCCCCAGCACGAGGAGGAGGAGGTCAAGAAGTCGGACCACGTCCTGCGCAAGCTGGCCAACCGTCAGCGCACCCGCGTGCTTGACCCCAAGATCGACGAGCAGGTCACGTCCGGCCGTCTGCTGGCTGTCATCTCGTCGCGTCCCGGCCAGTCCGGCCGCGCTGACGGCTACCTCCTGGAGGGCAAGGAGCTTGAGTTCTACCAGCGCAAGCTCGCCACCAAGAAGTCGAAGAAGTAAACTACTACTTCTTAGTCTTTGACGCACTAATGAACAACGGAGTTGATTTCATCTAAACTAAAGAGTCTTTGTATTGTACTAGTTCTCCTTCCTCCAGCGTTACCCCTCTTCATTCTTCTCGTTTTCTCGTTTCTGATGAACTACTACTACTACTACGTAGTACTACGTAGAAGTAGTAGTAGTATTTTTAAAGCGACTTCATTGGATGAAATCCCGTATCTTTACTTGTCGTAGAAATTGTTGCCATGGGACGTTCGCAGGTGAAGTACCGCGCGACGCACGGGCGTGGGCGAGGTCGAGGAAGAGGCGACGCTGCTGGAGGACGTGGCGGTGCATCCGGAAGAGATCGGTCTAGTCACCTGAGGAATCTTGGTTCCAACGCCTACCGTTTCGAGGAGCGCGAGGAGGAACACGACGGTGAAGTGGTAGTCCAAGAGAACTATGGCGGGCGTACGCAATTCTTCGCGTCAGAAAAGAACTACAGAGCGCACATGGGTGCGGTGCCTGGCGAGCATTTCCAGAGCCGTACTATGAAGCAGTGGGAGGAGCAGGACGAGGCTCGGGACGACCAGGGAGCCGTCGGAGTGCTGGTATGGAAGGCTGCAGCTTTGCTACATACGCTGTTGCAAGCATTAATGCTGGATTATTGCTGGTTATTCAGGACTTGAACTGGATTGCCTCGCAACTGGAGCTTGTGTCGCCCGATATACGCTACCGGTTGGACCCAAAATACTGCGTAAGTTTTCAGTTTTACATTTTCTGGATCAACTTTGTGCCTAACGCTGTCGTGCCATCCTGTCAGATTGACTTGCCATTCGAGCCACAGAATGAAGATGCCGAGGGGTCCGAGGACGAGATTGCCGAGATGAAAACAAATGCTGCGGTTACTGTTGCTGCTGCACCGACACCAGCTCCGTCGAAACCTGCACAAGGCGACGCGGAGCTGGACTTCTTGCTCAACCTCAGCGCGTCGACTTCAAGTGGAGCGAAAGCGACACCTACCCCATCGACGCCAGTAGATCCAGCACCAAACACAACCAGAACTCCAGCAGAAACGGAACAACTGGAAGAGTGGCTAGATGACGTCTTGGACATGTAGAAATCTTAAAACCGTGCTACCATCTAGAATCATGCTGTATCTACAGATCCTTAAGTTGCTGCGCTGTTTCCGCTCTGGCAAAATAGATGACGTCCACACCCTTACATCTGCCGAAACGCTTCGCACCTTCCAGTCTGAATATTGAAAGGCATCAGCATCTTTGAGTACTGACGCCGTTCACTACCATTGATACACATGTACCGTTCATACCTGATTCTTAGACTGTCCTCCTCCTCAAATAAATACGTCCACTTGATGCCCGAAGTATCTCCATGAATGGCAATACCGTCGTCACCCTGCAGCTCGTAGCTGCCCTCGCTCGCCACAACATGACGGAAATTCGACGTCACATCCGTCGAATCATCTTTCGACACCAAACGGAACCTGTAGATCTTCCCAGGCTCGAACGTGAGTTGGAGCTGAACGCGCTGGTCCTTCACCGCCTGAGCCCAATCCAGAGCAGTATTACCAAACGCCTCATTGCTTTCCCATGTTCCCAGGAGCGATGGCGCCGCTTCTTCCTGTTGCATCATAATTGCTTGTCAATCAAAAAGATTTGCGACCTTTGAAGTAAATAAATTGTCAGTCACAATTATCCACAACCGTCAAACGACAAAATGAAAACTGGCAAGTTGCAACGATCCAGTAAGGCAAATGGAAAACTGCAAATTGTATCATGTCGGCGATTTATAAACGTGCATCATCATCTACGGTAAGACTCGACTGGACTCACTGCTCGACTTGTTTGCTGTGGCTAATGTTGTTGTTGAGTGTTGCAGGTTTGCTGCAAATCGAATGACTGGAACCTCTCTGCGTGGTTTACTGCTCGCGATCGCAACAAAATCCACTTGAGGTTGTCTTGTTCTCTCGATCCACTTAAACGACCGAGGAGACTTCGTTGATGGTACGCACTGAGGCATTGGTGCGTCCGGACGCGTAAGTGCGCTGGTCCTCTGCGAGAGCGGCGTAGTGCTCGTCAAGCTGCACGTACGAGTTCTGCGGGTAGCGACCGGTACCGTTGCCACATTCCGACTTATCGAGGAAACTCTCGCGCAGTCCAGCCGTGTGGATGTAGATCCAGTGGCCAATGCATCCCAGTAGTCGACACGAGTTGATACTGGCCACGAAGATGTACAGAATGGGCATGTACGTCGACGAATCGGCAAAGTACACGATGAAGAGAGCGAAGATGAGGTTGGAGAATGTCCAGGTGAGCAGAATGTTGGAGCGGAAGGCCTCGAAATTCTTCTTCCTGTTCTCCACACGCTCATTCTCTTCACGACGACGCTCCTCCATTGCACGACGCTTAGCGATCACGTCCTTAAAGTCTCCCTTCTCCGTATCATCCAGTGAAGCAGCCAGCAATGGATCATCGTGCAAGCCCTTAGTGCCCCACGATAAGTCCTGAAGGTTGCAGAACGAGTAGATCGTGAAAATGTTCACGAAGCTCGGGATTAACGCCGTGTAGTGCGTAAAAGTCATGAAAATGTGGTGGAGCTCGCCATGCAGCGCTGAGCCAATGAAGTATACGCCAACCGTAAGGATTGAGACCACGATGGAGTGAACTGTAGCTGGCGTTGAGAAGAAAATGCCGAGACCAACCAAAGACGACAGCATCATCATGACTCCGAACACGGCACCAACAAAGTAGTACGTGAGCTTCATGTGCTTGGGGTTGTTGCCAAGACCAATAATGATCAGCATCAGAAGCCCAAACAGATACACAAAGTTGTAGATGTAAACTGCACAATCCAGTACAGTTTGCGAGTACTCGGACGTGTCCACGAACTCGAGACGGTTTTGCTGGAACCCTTGAAAGACGATGAAGAAGAGCGCGAGGTACAAATTTGCAGGCAGGAAGAAGGTGAATGCCGTGTACAGCAAATGATACAGATAGAAGACGAGAAACGCCGTCTTCCGTGTGAACGAGTGGTTGCTTTCCGAGTAGATGCGGCCCCAGTTCCAAATGCTGAAAAGAGTGGCAAAGAACGCGCCGTTGAGCCACCGTTTGCGCTGTGAAATGAGTCCCACTAGGTCGTGTGGTACATCTGTGCGAGCTACAGCATCCTTGACGTAATGCATCGTCCACTTGCAGTCCTTTCGAGCCACAACTTCGAACGACAAGATCCTGTCTTCTGCGAGATACATATTGCCAATGAAAGGTCCCAGCACGTCCAGATCGACGTTTAAAGTCTGGAAGTATGCGTCTAACGGAGCTCCTCGAATGGCTTCGTATCGATAGGCCGAGAAAGCACCAGGAAGCACACTGATAAAGCCAAAACAGCTCTCCAACGACTTGTCGAGGATGTTGGAGATCTTGTACTCGAAGTGCTGCGCTGAGATGACCCAGTTGCTCAAGTTCTCGAATGGTTTCTCCACTGTCAGCTGACCACACGCTCCTCCAATCTGGTGGTTGCGTTCGAATGCAAACAGCAAATGATACAGAGCCGACTTGGTGAGCATTGTACCAACATCCATCACTGCGGTGTACTCCGGCTGGATCTGTTCCGCGAACGCATTGAAGTACCAGTGGTGCGAGTCCAGTTTGCTGGATTTGGTCTCCTTTAGAGCGAATACCGTCTGAATTGGCAACAGACTCTTGCCATTCACATTGAGTTGCAGAGTGTGCTCGAACATGTGGCACTGGGCGCCAATACCGGCACTGTTGATCGTCAAGAGGTCTTCGTCGTACAGTCCGATAGCTTCCAGGTAATCCAGCATCTTATCGTTAATCTGTTCGCGACCGTCTGCCACGATGCAGAGCAGCACATTCTGCCACACGTCTTCGCCTGCGAAATCTCTGGACAGAGTCTTCTCGTGGTCTTTCTTCTGTTCTTTGAGATATGCCAAGTTATTGGCGAGTTTCTTGAGTGTCGCCTTGAGTTGCTGTGGTCCTTCGTTGTACATTGTGATGCAGATCATGAGTCGCGGACGTCTGCCAGTCTCAACGCAACGCAGTCGATATCCTAGGTTGGAAAAGTCGATCGGGTGTGGGCAATACACTGGCGTGTACCACATGCGTCGAGCTTCTTCCTCGTCCAAGTAGGGCCCGACCCAGTCCTCATCCCAGTTACTGACTGGGATTCCGACCTTGTGTACTCCTGGTCGCGGATGTTTCTCCTTGATGCGTCCCTCAATCCAATCACAAAGTCTGGCACACCAGTTGAGTGTCTCGAAGCCTTTGCTCGTGAGCAAGTTGCAGATCTTGGGGTTGGCTTGGCGTTCGGCCACATTGGCCATGGCATATCCACCTTCGAGGTAGAGTTTGAGTGCATCTCGGTACCGTCTTGCACCGAGAGCAACTGCTGCGCGGTCAAGAGTAACCAGAGCTTCCTCGACGGATGGAATTTCGCTGTATGTGCGCACCAGATCCGTGGCACTGGCGTAGGATTTCATGCTCGAGATCAAGTCCTGTACGCTACCGGAGGGGAACGCTGCCCCCGTGGGGATGTAACTGGTGACATATTGCTGTGATCCGCACGAACGGATGCTGGGGGGCGGCAACGGGATGCCATCGTACTCGACCGACATCATGGACGAGCGCGGACCTTGAGAGAGAGGGGGTAAGCCCATGCTGCGGGGCTGGAAGCCGGAAGAAGGTGGCGGAGCGCCGCTCATTTCGGTACAATGTGGCTTGCGGAGTCGGCACCAAAATGAGAGATGAACGGGTTGCCACAAGCCGAGATGGCTGAGCAACTGGTGGATGTTGCCTCCCCGATAGGAGTTTTTTTGGCAGTGGCAGAGGCTTCGGTTTCCCCGGCTCCACCTTGTGATGGAGGCTATCTTACATAGGCACAGGTCATCTGGTTTATCTTGCGGCGCCAGTAACAAGTTGCTGTGGGGGAAACGGACGGCAAAAAGCGACGGATAGGATCAGTTGCGGGAGAGAGTGACGGCAACCAAAGCCTTGGTTGCAGAGCCTGCGTAGCTTGAGCGTCGCGGCAAGTTCATTGTGACTGTCACTGGGGCTTTACCCGTCACTTCACTTGCAGGGGGCTACGATCCTCGACACTTCATTACGGGATGTAAATTTACGGCGAGGCAGAGAATCTATGCCTCGCAACTTGCAATTGGCTCAAATTGTCTCCAAGTTGAAGCGATGTGCGAAAACGGATTTGACGAATGGGTACAACCAAACCAAATTGCAGTCAGCAAAAAATTACACTTGCTAGGTTGCTTTTTTCAAGGCGATTAAGGCCATCGCAGTAGTTCCTCGCTGTGCCCCAATCGATGGATTCGCGCCCGAGACAAATCTGCAGGTGGATACTAGGACTTACCGCGAAGAGAATAGCCGCCTCTGCCAGATGAGCACTTAACCATCTCACAAAGATTCCAGTGCATTGAGAATCGACCGCGGCGAGTCAATTCCACCATCAAAACTGCCAATAGCGCATTGCTTTTTATAAGCTTTTAGTCAAGCGCATTAGTGTGAAAACGACACCTACTCGAATGTTCAGAGATCATCGCTGAAACCGTATGTGTCGTTCTAAGCGCTGCGCCATACTTGCTTGATAGCCAAACCTTGCTCCAAATTGGACGAGAGCTCCGCAACAATTCAATGGGAGCTCAGAACCCATTTCGCACGTGTCATCGACTAGTGGAATCGCGACTTCGTCAGTGTTCCAACGACCATCAGCAGCAGCCATCTCGAGACTATAAAACTGCACTTGTTCAGCCCCAAAATGCATGCACGCGTATGAGCTCCAGGAAGAAAGCTACTGGAAAAGATAGGGGCCACCATTCGACACCTGCATTACTGAAGCGCAAGGCGGCGACGTGACATTTACGCAGTGGTTGCAAGCGCGTCCAGGCGCACAGTCGTCAACCATACGCATTGCGCTGCACAAAACCGATCTGTTTGATCGACGGATATCGAGAAAAGCTTCACCTTGCTGCTTCAATATCAACAGTTCCGGCCATTCATAGTTTAGCACTACGGCACCGACAGCGAGACACTTGCTGGGACATCAGCGTTTGGGCGCCAACAAACAATTCTGCACATTGCAAGCTTCACAACAGTCCGTCACACAAGCTCACCAAACTTCTTCAAACAGCGTAGCGGACCGTCAGAAGCGAAATGCGTATTGGTACCAGCAGTGACGGCGGACCACGACAAAATCAGAAATCGGGCCCCCTCTCAGATGCCACGCAACATGCTCTGAGCAACTACTCGGCACGACGTTGAAGGATCTGCCAACCCCAGTTCGCGCAGTGAGCAAAGGGGTACCAGAGTCACCGCCACCGCTTGTCAGCGCCCTTCGACACAACTCCGAAGCCGAAATCTCCAGCATCAGTGCCATGGATTACTTCCAGAATGCTGTACTTGAGCGCCTCATACCTTCCCAGTGCTGCCGTGGTCGCGAAAACACCTCCAGGTCGATTGGAAACGCTCATATTCTCCACTGAGAATCTCCAGCACGGCTGTCGTTGCCAGAAGTTGCTCTGGGAGGATCAATCCGGAAATGGCATCGCTCGCCTGGCATCAGCGCCACTGGCAGCGTCATCGTGACTGGGATTCTCTGCTGACGTCCATCAAGGCGATTTGGCCAGTGCCCTCGAGCCAGTTGCAGCGGAGCATGGATGATGCATGTTCAACTCGGCGGATCTGAAGCGGACGGCTGGCTGGCTATGTGCGGCTTCCTCGACTCGAAGTTTAACATCTGGAACTCGGGCATACTGAAATCCATACATTTGCCGCTTTAACAGGCCAACTTCAAGGTGCAAGCGATATGCGAGGTCGCGTCAACTATTTTGCTGCTTGGTGCACACTGCAGACGAACGCGCGACATTCGGAAGGGCAGGCTGGCTACGTTGTTAAAACTTGCGGCTGCCTCCGCGGCCGATTCTGAAGCAAATCTCGGGCTCTCCAGTCCGGCGTGGCAGGGCAACGTTTGCGGCGCCCAAGCAGCCCTGCTGCTGATGGCACAGCAACGGAGGCAACGGGGGGTCTCAACAATTTGACTCGCCTGCCGTTGTGGGCCGATTGACGCGTGGCAGGTGGTCTGAAGTGTGACGCTTATCTTCATGGCCGACGTTGCGCTTCCAGATCTGCCTGCTTCCAGTCATCGGCGAAAACGCAGCTCGCGGCTTGCATGCCAAGTGTTGAGCGTGCTTTCGCGAGGGATTGCTCTGCAGAGGTCTTCTGCGACTCGCAGACCGCGACGGTAGTCCAGAACACCCCAGCCGCTGCCTCGGCTTGATACTGTGAGCGAAAACTCCGGCCCAGCTTGCGTATCAATTTATCACCATTTTGCCTGCAACACCCATCACCTCCTCAGGCAAAAACCGCAAGATCGGCCGGTCCACGTACGCAGGCATCCAATCAACGCGCCAGTAGCAAAAGATGCGATCTTTTACGCACGCACTCAACCTCTAATAAACAATAGTATGCTTCATTCCCGAACCAGATCATGTATACAGTTGAGGCAATCTCTGTTATCAAAATCCTTCTAACTGTAATACCCTCCTCAAACCAACTTTGTTGAATCATCAAACCGACAGCGGACCCCAAATGGTCGCTCACGGCGCAGCCACAGACGAAAGCCCTTTGCCATTTCTCAATCCCCCAGGCGCAAGACACACCTCCGTCGATCGCATTCCTCGCGAAGCTTCCAAAACCTCCAGGTGCGCCCTGTCCCCATGCTCCTCGCTGACTTGAAGCTTATCCATATGGGCGTCATGGATCCTGTCAGCCTTACCCTAGAGGATACTTTGTATGTTGCAGTCCGTCTAACCTTTCGTATCTTGCCATTCTCGTTCTTGCAGACATGAGCGCTATTATCAAGTCCCTCCGCCAGACTACACGCTCGACCGCCGCCCCTGCTGCGGCTCGCGCCCTCTCCACCTCCTCGAACTCGCTGCTGGACGAGCTCAAGGAGCAGATTCCCGTGCGTCAGGAGGCTCTGAAGAAGCTCAAGGCTGAGCACGGCCACAAGTCGCTTGGCGAGGTCACTGTGGAACAGACTCTGGGCGGTGCCCGTGGAATCAAGTCGCTCCTGTGGGAGACTTCGCTGTTGGACGCTGAGGAGGGCATCCGTTTCCGCGGTCACACCATCCCGGACCTCCAGAAGTGCCTGCCGGCCAAGCAGGAGGGCGGCGAGCCCCTACCGGAAGGTCTACTATGGCTACTAATGACCGGTGAGGTCCCCACGGCCGCCCAGGCTGCCAGCGTCACTGCTGAGCTGCACTCGCGCGCCAAGGTGCCCGAGCACGTGCTCAAGATCATCCGCGACCTCAAGCACGCTCACCCCATGACGCAGCTATCGGCTGCTGTGACTGCCATGAACACTGAGAGTATCTTCGCTAAGAAGTACGCCGAGGGTATCCACAAGTCGACCTACTGGCAGTACACGTACGAGGACAGCATGAACCTCATCGCCCGCCTGCCCGAGGTGGCCGCCCTTATTTATCGCAACACGTACTTCGGCGAGTCTAACAACGCCTACGATTCGAGCCTGGACTACTCGGCCAACTTCAACCGCATGCTGGGCTTCGACAACGCCGAGTTCGACGAGCTCATGCGTCTGTACCTGGTGATCCACAGCGACCACGAGGGTGGCAACGCTAGCGCTCACACTACGCACCTGGTGGGCTCGACCCTGTCGGACCCGTACCTCTCCCTGGCTGGTGGCCTCAACGCGCTGGCTGGCCCGCTGCACGGTCTTGCTAACCAGGAGGTGCTGGGTTGGATCCTCGACCTGCAGGCCGAGTTCCACGCCAAGGGCCTGGAGGTGAACAAGGAGACTATCACTCAGTTCGCGTGGGACACGCTGAACGCCGGCAAGGTCATCCCGGGCTACGGCCACGCTGTGCTGCGCAAGACCGACCCGCGTTACACGTGCCAACGCGAGTTCGGTCTCAAGTACATGCCCAACGACGAGCTGTTCCGCATCGTGGACACGATCTACCAGGTGATGCCCGGTGTGCTGACCGAGCACGGCAAGACCAAGAACCCGTACCCGAACGTGGACTCTCACAGCGGTGTGCTGCTGCAGTACTACGGTCTGACGCAGAAGAACTACTACACGGTGCTCTTCGGTGTCTCGCGTGCTATTGGTGTGCTCTCGCAGCTCTTCTGGGACCGCGCACTGGGCCTGCCGCTGGAGCGTCCCAAGTCTATTACCAGCGAGTGGATCAACAACCACTTCGCCAACAAGAAGTAAGCTACTAGCGACAGAGGAAGGCGGGGCCTTACGTGTATGCGTGTGGCTGCTGCGGATGAAAAACACACCAGTAGGAAAGCCTCGGCTGGTAGATAGGCTAGGCGACAAGAGGATTTCTTTATTTGAAAATGCAGCAAGCATGAATTTAGTGCAACCTTGGTGTTCATGCGACGTGCATGAGTGCACTTAATTGTTGGTGCAGCGCAGTGCCATGGAAGCTTGACCATGATGCTTGACGTGCTTGACATCACCATGCTTGCTCATGAGCTTCCTGTTTTTCCAGGCTGACGTCACCCTTATCTTGAAAAAAAGCTTCAGATCATTCGAGGGTCCTTTTTTGACCAATCCATCCGCGTTTAACATTTTCCAGTTTCCGGCGATCTGGAACAAACTTCAAGGTTGGCCGCGCTATGCAAATCAGTGCCGTTGACAACGAAAGTACAGGCTTGGCACGATTCTACACAGTCTATACGCAATAATGTGTACAGCACGTATCCGGTACATCGTACCACTCAGTTTCCGAGATCGGAAATTGAAACGCTGTAATTTTGGCGGGAACACCATGGACCGCTGCCTGGAAGAGATCTCGTCAACCGTGCTGGACGCGGGCGAGCCCATCTCGTACCGCACGCTCAGTATCCGATCGCAGGTACCCACCGCCGTCAGTGCCGAGGCGCTCTCCAGCTTCTCGGCGGACAACGACAGCGTCAAGGCGCTGCAAGTGCTGATCAAGCGTGCAACCATCGACAAGGACAGCGACAACTCAGAAACTGCTATCGCTAAGCGCGACCCGAGGGCTCGTGTGCTATCACTAACTGTGAGCAGCCAGGGCAAAGCCGACGATGTATTTTGCCAGCAGATCTACGCCCTCTATGGTGATGCAGCAAACGACACAGACCAAGCAGCCATTGCCACCGTCTGTTGGGCGCAAGAGCGCCAGGCGCGCAACGACGTACTGCGGAGTGTAGCTAAGCACGCTCCACTATCTGCAGCTGCCAAGGCTCTGTACGCAAGCGGCGTCAAGTGCGCGGAGGCTACAGCACGCCAAGACTTTGGTGACGACCAGGGCGAGGAGACCATCTCGGCCTTCGACGCCATCAACGCGTCGGCCAAGAAGAAACCGTCGTCCGGTTCATTCTTCAAGAATAGTGGCAAGGCCGGCTTCTCCAAGGCCAGCAACTCGAGAAATGGAGGAGCTAAGACAACGAGTAAGCCCGAGGCCAAGAAGCTGGATATGAGCAACGTGCTGACAGTCGACAGTGACGACGAAGAGGACGACGAGACGGACGCTCCTGTGTTTGTCAAAAAGACCACAAGTAATAAAAGGATCATCAGCGATGACGAGGATGAAGAGGACGAAGCTCCAGCACCAAAGAAGGCGAGTACGCCGGCAGCTAAGAGTCGTAACGTGAAGAGGAAGCTGAATGCATCACCTGCTAAGAGTAAGAAGACACAGCAGGCTGAGGAACCGGAGGAGACTCATAAGAAAGAACGCGTGGAGTCGGAGGATGAAGACGAAATCGTGGAGGAACCCGTTATCGCAACCAAGAGGCGAGTACTCGTTTCCAAAACTCGCATCAACGAGCAAGGCTACATGGTCACGGAGAAGACGTACAAGGAGGTGGAGTTGACACCGGATGAGATTGAAAAAGAGCAGAAGGCTGCCAAGAAGAAGCTGGAGGAGAAGAAGAAGAAAGCTGCTGCCGAAAAGGCCGCCAAGGCCAAGAAGGAGGCCAAAAAGCACAGTGGTCCGCCTAAACAGCGCGACCTGCGCTCCTTCTTCTCGGTCAAATAAAGAGCGCAGTAATAACGTGTAGACGCAATGCCAATAGCTGCAATAGTAAGTGGGATTTCATTGTTATAGGTCACACAAGGCACTGGCAGCAGGACAAGCGCTAAGACTGCCATTCCTCATCTACTACTCCATATCCTCGTCTTCCTCTTCGTCATCCATCTCGTGGAACATGAACTCGCGCTGGTATTCCATGAGGAACTGCGTGGAGCGCTTGACGTCGGCAAACAGCGAGTAGACTCGCTTGATATCGGGCACATCCACCTCTGTACCCTTGCGCTTGGAGCATACGAGCGACGCTGTGATGATCATATGAATGGCATATCGCAGCGACGTCTCCACAGCGATACGCGTGAGCAGATCCTTCGCTTCTTCAGTCATCTCCACATCTTCCTCTTCGCAGCGAATGGTCAGAATCTTACGCATCTCGGACTCGCTGTAGGGCTTCGTAGGGATGATCATCAGTCGGTCCAACAGGTCGATGGGAATACCGTGAGGACTCTTGTAGTTGGTGCCGCGAATGCGGGTAATGCCACGGTTCGTTGCGATGATAAGCACGGGAGCCATGTCGCTCTCTAGCGCACGATTAAGCCATGAAAAACACTCGATATCCAGCATGTGGACCTCATCGATAAACAACACGCCAGGCACAATAGTGGCCTTGCCTTCCTCACGCCACTCTGCGACCTTGGTGTCGATCTGTTCGCGCACTTCGTCCTTGATTTCTCCAGTGTCACCAGCAAACAGAGCGAGGAAACCCTGAGAACGCGAGTTGATCACGTCGATCTCGTGGAGAGACACCACGTGCACCACTTCCTTGCGCTTCTGTAGTTCACCCTCGGGACACTGCACGAAACGAGTCTGAGCTCCCATTGCGTCATAGTCGCGGGAGCGCGTGAACGATCGTCCGAGCTTCGAGATCTTGCCGGATTCTTTGTTGATAGTAATCACATCACCAGCCTCGACCTTCTCCTTGGTCAGCGAGTCGATCATCTTGGCTCCAAGATCGTAAACCGTCTCCATCTCCGTCGTACGGAGCGTCAATCGGCCCACTTTATCGCCCACACCACCCGTGGGAGTGTCCACCTGGATCTCCACGACTTCGCCCTCGATAATTTCGGTTTCTTCCATTATCCTCACGCCAATAGAGCGACGGAAAGCCTGCGTCAAGGCCTCTGTCTTGCTCATCTCGAGTGAGAACACCTCGCTACCGGCGATGGTCGTGAACGGCGTGTCTTCTCCTAATGCCTGTGCAATACCCATCGCAATGGCCGTCTTACCTGTGCCAGGTTTACCGGCCAATAAGATGGCGCGACCAGCGATGTTGCCTTCCTCGATCATCTTGGCCACGATACCCGCAGCTTTACGGGCCTCCGTCTGGCCTACCATACCCTGTGAGGACGCACGTGGCTCGAGACTGTCATCCAGTCCAAGACCGCGAATGTGCGAGTGCGCACCGATGCGCTCGATGCGCGTGATGTCCTTCACTTCCGCTTGTGTCTTGACTGTGCCTGACTGAAAAGAGTTTAGTGCGTTTTTGAAGGTTAAAACGGGTTCTAGGAGACGAATAAGGCACGAAAAAGGAGCTGACGACGTGTACCATGCTGGAGAAGGTGCTTGCTGGAGTGAGGAGACGCTAGAAGATCGATATCGAGCGACTTCCGCTAGCGACGCTTTGACTGCCTGCTACGCAGTGGCCGATGTATCTTTCGACCGATCCAGAGCCAAGCGATAAAAATTCCCACATAAGTACGATTCCGCACGAAAGGTCAAAATGTAGCCATGTTACGGAGTCACTTGAGTCCTGCGCTTCTTGCGCTTCTTGCTTTTCTTCTTGTCGCCTTGTTGGGACTCCAGGAAGTTATTGAACGCGTTTGTATCTGGATCTTGACGCAATTTCATGTTCTTTAGCAGAAACTTGACGCGGGCGACGGCAACTTGACGGGTTTCGTCCAAATGCTGCAACAACTTGTCGAGTTCTTGAAGCTCCACAAGATCTTGACGACTCGCTCCACTGTGTCGTTGCTGCTCTTTCAGTAGAACGATGAGTGGTTGCATGAGCTCGAGTCCACTGGAGTACCGCATAGCTGCAAGAGCTGTGTTCTTGGCCAAGTCGTATTTATCGTAGGTGAGCCCCCAGGAGCCATCGACGACTGCTGCATCGGCTTCAACTTGAGTCAAGAGTTGCAGCGTGTGGTGCATTCCAAGCACATACGTGGCTGCTTCTCTTGCATGTTGGATAGATTTGCCACGTTGAAGCCAATAGCTGAGCGCAAACAAGGCACCTTGATAGCAAGCGTCGTTCGCGATGGTAGCCGATGCAAATTCCCAGCTTCCTGGAGGGTATAATGAAGGTGCAAAGTGAACTGATGGCGGCGATGTTGCTTTCCACTCGGTGTAGAGTGCTTCAAACTCTGCAGCGGTTGATGGCGGCGCGTTCACTTTCCAAACCAAACCGCGCGGTGAGAGCGTAAAGCCCAGATATTGGCCGTTTGGAGCGATATCTTCGTCATTCTGCATCACGAATCACAGAGCGAGAAAGGATTAAAGTTTGACAGTTAGAGGTGACTTTATGCACATACCACAGCATGGAGGTCGAGGAATAGATGATCACTGTCTATTGCTATGTTTGCAGCAAGGAAATCGTGCAAAAGCCTCGCGTATCCTGGCGAAGTTTTGACCGTCGAAACTCCACGCTGTATTGGCGGGAAGACGATAGTTGGATACAGTGCATGTTGGCGTGGAAACCACGGAAATGGCATGAGCTGAAGGCTTAGTAAAGTCACGTCTGGCCGCATTCCTTCGCAAGCCTGTCACCAGCACACGGGCCAGATAGATTTAGCGTCAAATAAGCACCAAATCGTCCCATCAGGCATACCTTCAGGTAGCGTAGCGAGTTCCAGTTGATGTCTGTGTACGAGAGCAGTACACCATTGCGAGGGATAACGTCAAAGATGGCTTCTCCATGTCTTCGAATCAAGTCTCCGGGTAAGTCATGACCAACGAGACGATTTCGCTGGTATTGAGCTGCTACCAACGTCAAGCAGATTGAATAGCGAATAGCTCTAATCCAGTTGCCGTCTGCAGCGACCATCGCTGCAACACCATGCGTGGCTACTGTAAGCCCAAGACCTAGCCAGATAGCAAGGATTGTGTTCGGCTGCATATTGAATCGGCTGGAAACTGCGCGCGGCATCGGTGAATCGAGAGGAAGATTCGCCAAAGAGTGAAACACCAGCAAGTAGCACGCCAAGGCGGACATTTGTGCATACCCAACACGGTGATACCAGGATGAAGAGCGTTTCTGCTGAGAAAGGTACTCACAGTTAATGCGATAGTGCTTTGATTTGGCTGTTTAAACATACCTGAGCAAGTTTACTTTGAGTTGTGTATGAAACCATGAGCGTTTTCGCTCCTAGGCACATCAAGATGAGTCCAATCCAGTGAAAATCCTCAGCGCAGTCCATAGCGTATATCTTTAAGCGCACCAAAAGCCCCTGTTGCAGCGGAATACAGCGTTAGACGGCTCGATTCCTTTTATATTATTGCAGGAGAATACCTCTGAATCGCCTTGCAAAGGCGAAAGTCTAAACGTTCCGTACTCCTTCCGTCGTGCATGATCAAATAAGCCTGCAATATCGCAAGCAGCGAGTAAGTAACAATGTTGCTTGGATTACACTCGTGATGAGCTCAAACCAGCAAATGTTGATGTGTCTCCCCACGACCCTGGCGTTGGTTCTTGGGCGGCTAGGAACGTTTGTAGATATATTGACAAGCCCGATATAAACCTACCTTGCACAACGACAATTGTCAAAGATTTAACGCGAACTTACGCACAATATTACATGAACTCACGCTAATGCCAGCGCCAAAAGCTCCACCAGACGAAAGCGATGCGTCAACAGTACCCACAAGATGAACGGTCCTTCGAAGAGAACTGAACGGTACCAGGACAACAAACAGCATTTAATGCTGTTATTATTGCACAATTGCAACGGTGAAAGCAACCTGTATCTAGCTTCTTACCGATCGTGTGTTGGTTCGTGAGTCCAAGTCCGCACACGAACGCCCCCAAGCACGCACATTTCATCGTCGGTTGTATGAAGTGCCTCACGACCAATAAATGTAGTATTCCGACTAGCAAGTTGTTAAGTGCAAACACCTCGAAACCGCGAGCGTACTCCCACGTGAGCTTGGACAGCGCGAAGCAGAGTCCGGCCGCCACCGCCTCCACCGATGCCTTCTTACTTGTCATCAAGTAGACAGTATGCGCCACACACGCCACTGCACCTGCTGCAATGAAGGTGTTCATTGTGTTTGCCAATAGAACGAAGTGTATCGAGTTGTCTCCATCGCTGCAACACTTTTGGGCAGCCCAGCGCACGGCTCGTAACAGCGAGAGCAGCAGAGGGTACCCGGGCGGATGCGCCACGCCTCCAATACATGCTTCGGCCAGCAACTCGCCACTGTCTCCACCCGGAAGACGATCCAGCGGCCATGTAGTTGTGTAGATCAGTAGTGACAGCAGCAGCGTCCACAGCCACGGTAACGGCATCCTTGTGATAGTTTGCGACTTGACATGCATCTCCTGAAGATACTTTTTTTGGAGCGACATTGGTGCAACATTCGTCGAATCTCATCTCAGCAAATGTTGCGCGAGTAAGAGATCCAAAGGCCGCCGGTTCAAGTTCATTTTGCGAGAAGCTCCACAGAAAAAGCAGGTGCGGTAATCTTAGCTAGTGTGGAGACTTTGTGCGCTGTGTAGGAGAGGAAGGACGCACTAACAGATGGCGCTCTCATATCTGTGGATGTGCGCACTAAAATCTTGGCTCTAGACTCTCTGCAGCAGTAAAGATCTCGTGAAGAATGCTGGCCCAGCTCGTAGCAGACGTGTGCCCGTCGTCGGCCTCTTTCTTCGGCTTCATGGGTGTCGCCTCCGCTCTCGTCTTCGCCAGTACGTTATTCATTCATAGCAGCCCAGACTACACCGTAACGCCTGAACTGCAGAAGCCGACAGAGCTATATTGAGTGCCGTTCCTTGCTGACTTGTTGATGTTGTCAATACAACTGCGCAGATCTGGGTGCAGCGTACGGCACGGCCAAGTCAGGCGTGGGCATTGCGTCCATGGGTGTAATGCGGCCCGAGCTGGCCATGCGTAACATCATTCCCGTGGTTATGGCCGGTGTGCTGGGTATCTACGGTCTGATTGTGGCGGTGATTATTCAGGGCTCGATCGACCCTCCGAACGGCAACGCGCCGAAGTACGGCTCGTACACGGGCTTCGCACACCTGGCTGCTGGTTTGTGCTGTGGTCTGAGCGGTCTGGCGGCCGGTATGGCTATCGGAGTGGTAGGTGACGCCGGCGTACGCGCCGTTGGCCAGCAGGAGAAGCTTTTCGTGAACATGATCCTGATTCTGATTTTCGCGGAAGCTCTGGGTCTGTACGGCTTGATCGTGGCGCTGATTCTTTCACAGAAGAAGAGCGACTGCCCGTCGGAGTAAGCACGGCCAGGCTGGTGGATGTTGCAGTCGTCTGAGTGCTTTTAGTCAGACGTCGAGCTTACAAGGTTGAAGAGCGGTTGGCTTCTCCGAACTATTTGGTGGAGATGTGAACCGCGACGCGATGCAGCTAGTCTTTTGCAAGAGCTAAAGTTTTTACAACTTGCCTAAGCGACAGCTGCTAATAAATCTTCGCAATTGATATCAGTGTGGACGTTGCTGATGCTTCTGTGTAGTTTTGCTTTGAGGATAGTGTTAGTGGATGTTAAGACAGTGGTGATGCACGCAGCGCCTCTGCGCCAGCCGTATCAAACTGAACGCGATCAAAACTACTGTAGTCGCAGTAGTAAAAAGGTATCAAAGTGCTGTAGTATTAGCGTTATCACTTGCAGCAACGCCGAAGAAGAAGTGGCATGAACGAGGTTGACTCCACGTTGCATTTCACTTCCAAAGCCATTGGCGAAGCCAACGCTATGTCCTCCAAAAGCTACGAATACGGATGTAGCACAACCTGAAAGTAGAGCCTGTGTCCGCCTTCCTCGAATGATAGCTTACTCCGACGGGCAGTCGCTCTTCTTCTGTGAAAGAATCAGCGCCACGATCAAGCCGTACAGACCCAGAGCTTCCGCGAAAATCAGAATCAGGATCATGTTCACGAAAAGCTTCTCCTGCTGGCCAACGGCGCGTACGCCGGCGTCACCTACCACTCCGATAGCCATACCGGCCGCCAGACCGCTCAGACCACAGCACAAACCAGCAGCCAGGTGTGCGAAGCCCGTGTACGAGCCGTACTTCGGCGCGTTGCCGTTCGGAGGGTCGATCGAGCCCTGAATAATCACCGCCACAATCAGACCGTAGATACCCAGCACACCGGCCATAACCACGGGAATGATGTTACGCATGGCCAGCTCGGGCCGCATTACACCCATGGA